CCGTGTCCCGTGTCCCGGTCCCGCGTGTCTCTCCCATGTCCCGCCGTGTCTCTCCCGTGTCCCGGTCCCGCCGTGTCTCTCCCGTGTCCCGTGTCTCTCCCGTGTCCCGGTCCCGCCGTGTCTCTCCCGTGTCCCGGTCCCGCGTGTCTCTCCCGTGTCCCGTGTCCCATGTCCCGCCGTGTCTCTCCCGTGTTCCGTGTCTCTCCCGTGTCCCGGTCCCGCCGTGTCTCTCCCGTGTCCCGTGTCTCTCCCGTGTCCCGTGTCCCGGTCCCGCCGTGTCGCGCCGTGTCGCGTGTGCGGAAGCGGCGCGGGCGGTGACGCGCGGGCGGGAGGCGGAAGCGGCGCGGGGCGATCGCGGGGCGGCGGCGGCGGCGGCGGGGCCGGGCCGGGCCCGGCGAGGCCGCGGGGCCATGACCGAGTACAAGCTGGTGGTGGTGGGCGCCGGCGGCGTGGGCAAGAGCGCGCTGACCATCCAGCTCATCCAGAACCACTTCGTGGACGAGTACGACCCCACCATCGAGGTGCGCGGGGCCGCGGTGCGGAGCGGGGCGGGCTCGGGGCCGCGGGCCGGGGAAGCGCCGCCGCGCCGGGCCCTGCCCGCGCCGGGCGGAGCGGGTGCGCCGCCGGCTCCCCGCGGCCCGGCCCGGCCCCTCCCGTTCTGCCTCGGGCTTCTAGAGCAGCCACGGGCAACCAGAGCGGCCAGCGCGGGTCTGTGCAGGGCGGAGGTTCTGCTCACTGCGAGGGTGTCTGTGGCAGGCTTTTCTCTTCTTCTCCTGTTGAGGAATTTCTTTAAAGCAACGGGAGTTCTGTGTTTTGTAACAAAGGGTGAGAGGGCTTAGAGTCTCATTTAAAATGGGATCGTTTGGGCATGGTTCAAAATGTAATCGTTTGGGTAACATTTAAAATACTGTAGTTTTAGATAGAGACAGATGAGATCACAAAGTCCCGAAGTTAGAAGGGTCCTTAAAGCTCATCTCGTTCCACCTCTGCCATGGCAAGGACACCTTCCACTGCCCCAGGCTGCTCCAAGCCCTGTCCAACCTGGCCTTGGGCACTTCAGGGATCCAGGGGCAGCCACAGCTTCTGCAGAGCAGCTGGCAAAGCTCCTGCTGCGCTTTCATGATTATTTTTCCTTCCCACCGGTGGCCCTGGGGGGGCAGGAGCAGCGCAGGGCTCATGCAGGTGCCCGTGTGTGTGTTGCAGGACTCGTACCGCAAGCAGGTGGTGATCGATGGCGAGACGTGCCTGCTGGACATCCTGGACACGGCGGGGCAGGAGGAGTACAGCGCCATGAGGGACCAGTACATGAGGACAGGGGAGGGCTTCCTCTGCGTCTTCGCCATCAACAACAGCAAATCCTTCGCCGACATCAACCTCTACAGGTAGAGCTGGGGCTGCCCCACGGGCAGGGAGCGCGGGGACAGGGCAGGACACTGGGAATGGAGCACTGAAGTGCCTCACTGAAGGCTCAGGAGCAGAAAAATATTAAATCTCCCACTTCTTTTGGGAAGTTTTGCACTGTTCTGCGCCAGTGCACAGAATCATAACAGGGGTGGGTCGGAAGAGACTTCAGATCTCATCCAGTTCCACCCCTGCCATGGACACCTCCCACTGTCCCAGGTTGCTCCCAGCCCCATCCAGCCTGGCCTTGGACACTTCCAGGGATCCAGGGGCAGCCACAGCTGCTCTGGGCACCCTGTGCCAGGGCCTCATCACCACCTTTAGTCAATTAAGACTGAGATGGTTTTTAGTGGGTTTTTTGTGTTAATCATATCATCAATCCATATAAATATCTCAAAGGGGTGTCACAAGAACAGTGTCAGACTCTTTTCCATGATGCCCAGGGACAGGACAAGGAGCAGTGGCCATAAACTAAACCACAAGAAGGTTAACATTAGGAAAAACTTCTTTCTCATGAGGAAAAACTCCTCAACATGGGGAAAAAACTTCTTTCTATGAAGGTGGCAGAGCCCTGGAACAGCTGCCAGGGAGTTGATGTGTCTCCCTGTCTGGACACATTCCAAACCCACCAGCATGTGGTCACCTGTTCCAGGTGATCTTGCCTTGCCAGAGGTGATCTCCAGAAGGCCCTTCCAACCCCAGTTGTTCTGGGATTCTGTGAATCAGATGCCATTTGCAGCTACAGAATGTCATCCCTAAGAAAATGGGTGAGAAATCCAGAGTGGAGTTATCCATGCACAGAAAATGAAGTGTACAAAGAGCTTGGTCATCCTGCTGACCCCTGAGGCCCTGCTCACCTTTAATGTGTTTTTGTGGCACAAGGTTGTTTGAATACTGATTGATACCAGTTTTTATATTTAGAAAATACTTCCTATTTGTTTTTTATTTGCCTTCCTAAAGAGAACAGATCAAGAGAGTGAAGGACTCGGATGACGTGCCCATGGTGCTGGTGGGGAACAAGTGTGATCTGCCCACAAGAACAGTGGACACAAAACAGGCCCAAGAATTGGCAAAAAGCTACGGAATCCCCTTCATAGAGACCTCTGCAAAAACGAGACAGGTGAGGGGCTTCCCCAGGGCCTGGCTGCTTCCTGGGAAATGCAGCAATGACATTTTCCCATGTGCTTTTGCCTTATTTACAGGAGAGGCATTTTCTCAATTCCTTTACAGTTTTTAGCTTTTATTTCCTCACTCACTCTTAGCTTGAAAGAGTTCTGGGCTGGGCCAGGAATCACTTCAGACTCACCCTGACTTCCTTTCAAGTGGGTCATGTTGGTAAATAATGCAGAGAATAAAAAAATTTCAGCTCCCCTGAAGTTACTAAATAAAACTTAAAAACTAACTAGGGAAAAAATACTCTTAATAATAAACATAATACCAGTAAATGTAGAGATAAAGAGACCTACAGTAGTTTTCTGGAAAATTATGGAACAAGAAAAAATAACACATGCCCCCAAAAAGAAGTTAAAATTCACCTTTACTATCACAACTTTCAAATGCAACCACCAAAAACCCCTCTTAATAAACCTCCAAAACCATACAAAATCTGCCAATAAGAAACAAATGCTTGCAAAATAATTCCTAAAAAATAATATTTGGGTCTTAAATAAAAAACACATTTTAACTATAATAAATAAATACCTCATTATAAAGTCTCACAGAACACACAGAAGAAAAAGAAACACAGCTACTTTCTACTGCTTCAAACGATGTTAAAAATTTGATTGCAGCCAGTTCCAGCAGTGCTCAGTGCTGGCAGGAGGAGCAGCAGAGTTTCAGCTGCTCTCCCTGGGGAGTGTCAGAGGCTGAGCTCGCTCACCCCAGACCTGCTGGGCTTTCTTGGCTCGTTAATGAAAGCCAATTAGCAGATTATGATTGCAGACAGAATTCCCCAGACTGGACTAATGGGCTTCTCCAAAGCCTCCTTGGCCACGTGGGCCTGGCCAGCCAGCCCTGGAGCAGGGGAACAGAGCAGGGAAGGTGCAATTATTGAGCAGCAGCCAGAAAATCCTGAAGAGCTGAATGGTAAGAATTCTAAAATTAGGCAGGGAGTAGCTTGTTTCCTGCATGGAACCTCCCTGAGATACAGTTTTCCATGTTTATTTTAGTGGTTGTTACCCCAGGAGGAGTCAGGCTGGGACATCCATATGGGATTTTTCCTCTTAGGAACCACAGGATCAGCTGGGTGCTGCTCTTCTGTAGAATTGTGCCTTTCAAATCCATTAAGGGGTTCTGGGATGGACAGATCAGTGATTTCAAAAGCTTCAGGGAAGAAAATACCTGACTTTGTGTTTGCATTCAGGGTGTGGAAGATGCTTTTTACACCCTGGTGAGGGAGATCCGGCAGTACCGGATGAAGAAGCTCAACAGCAGCGAGGATGGGAACCAGGGCTGCATGGGACTGTCCTGCCTTGTCATGTGAGAAGGTGAGCTGGAGCCCCCCTTCTCCCCTGGCAGAATTCTTTGCCTTCCAGCAGCTGATAAGTGTGGCTTAGAAATGTTGCAGGTGGGGTTTTCCCCTTTTACAGAACATATTGATTCCCAGAGATTGCATCCTACAATGCTTTAATGCTCAAAAAAGCAAAATTGCCCTCAAAGTTGGTGACAGAGCTTAAGAAAAGGAATTTTTATTCACGTCACCCTTTTGGCTGATGGGTGGATGGAACAAGATGATCTTTAAGGTTGCTTCCAACCCAAAACATTCCATGATTTCCACCAATTCCAATGGTGTGATTTTCTCATTTCTTTCTGTCTCCTACTTTTGGGAAACCATTTGGACTGTTTTTTTATAATTTCTGAAGAAATACCTTGAAAGAGGGGTATGCACAGCTGACTGATTGACCCCTGCACAGCTGCCCTCGAGCTGTGTTCCTCTGGAGCATGCTGATTCCAGGATTAACCAAATAAAATGGTGCCAGTAATGGAATCTGAGTTCCCAACTGAGGGAAATTCCTTTCAGCCATTCCCTGAAAGATGTTGCTCATGACTATGAAAACAGCCAGACCAGCTCAGGACTTGCACTGCTGCACTGCACATCCACCCCAGAGCAGGACAGAGCTAATTAGTGCTAATTGGAGGTGTTTTTGTTCCAGATGCCAAGAAAACGTGGTTCAGGTGCAGCTGCTGGACGAGCCTCGATCTCCTGTGCTGCCTCTCCTGCTGACCCCTGCAGTGTTGGGGTGCCAGGGACAGACTCTGGGCACCAGAGTTAATTAGCACAAGGTTCTTCTCCGTGCTCCATCTGAAGAGAACATCCATGGCATCTACCTCCCTGCTCAGCTCACGGAGCAGCAGCACCTTGGGATGTGCTGGGATTCTTCTCTCACTGTTACCTGGGTTTGTTCCAGAAGAAAACCAGTCACAAAAGTGAACTATAGAGACTAAATGCTGTGAAAAAGATGACACTTTACCTCTAGAGTAAAAGCTAGAAGTGCTGTGTGTCCCCTGTCTGTTGGATTCCGTGCAGTGCTGTCAGAGGAGTGGCACAGTTGGTGTCACAGGGGGTTGTGCCACCTGGAGTGCCCCTGTCCCCTCTCAGCTGGGTGTCTGCTCTCTGTGCACCTGAACAGCAAAAGTGCAACATCTCCAAGTGCCAGGAGTGCCACCTACCCGATCCTCCATTTCTGTAATAAAAAGGAAAGCCTTTCCTAACTAAGTGCCTGTTTGCTAAGAAGATTTGAAGTTGTCCCTTGGGTTGAGGAAAACCCCAAGGACTGGAATTTCTTGGGAGCTCATTGTGTCAAGCAGGCAAGTGTGCTGTGGGTGATCTGGGCCTGACAGGATCCTCCAGCAGGAATTTGGAGGCTGGAAGGGCCAGCAGGCACTTGTGAGACTCTGGGACAAGGGAGGGAACACACTGCATCTGTGTTTTACTTTCTTTGTGGGTGGAACAGTTTATACTCTGTATTGTTTTCCTGCAGCATTCAGATCTCTTCCAAGTTGGACCAAACCTATCAGCTGTTCGTTTTTAACATGAACTGCCAGCATTTCTGGGCAGCTTCTCACTAATTAATCTGGTAACTGGAGGTTGCTTTGGACAGCTGCTATTCAGCTCTCTCTGTAACTTGCAAATTGTTTTATTCTGAATTATTTTCTTACCACAGACTGTAAAGAGTCTCTTCAAAATGTCTCTAGACTGTCAAATGTAGTTGGAATTTCCTTGTCAGGGAAGGAGTGGGGGGGTGGGGTTGACTCTGTCAGGGGTGCAGAAAGTGGCTGCTCCATCCCTGGCAGTGCCCAGGGCCAGGTTGGGCAGGCTTGGGGCAGCCTGGGACAGTGGGAGGTGTCCCTGCATGGCAGGGCTGGGATGGGATGAGCTTTAAGGTCCTTTCCAACCCAAACCATCCTGGGATTCTGTGATGGAGGGGAAAAGGCTGAGAGCTGCCACAGGCACCTGAGCCAGCTTGTGATTGCAGGGTCCTCAAAAAATGAGGAAGGAAATGAGTTCAGTGATGGCTCCACAGAAGGTGTGGGACAGACTGGTGGAATTCTGAGTGAGGAAATTGTGAACCATTCCCTCCAGCTGAGGGAACTGAGCTGAGCCAGTTCCTCCCAGAACAAAACCTCCTCCCTTGGGTCCCAGGTGCACACGTGTAGTCACTGCTCCAGTGCCCTGGGACGTCCTCCCCTCTCCTTGTGCTGCTGGGGCTGCTCAGGCAGCAGAGCTGAATTCCCAGCGAGGAGGAGGAGGAGGAGGAGGAGGAGGAGGAGGAGGAGGAGGAGGAGGAGGAAGGAGCCTCAGCCAACAGAGGGAGCATTTGGTCAGTGCCAGGCCCGAGGAGCAGGGCAGTGCAGGAGGCTCAGTTTCAGGCTGTTGGTGTCAGTCACACATCTTCATTTGGAGGGCTCGATTTCAAATGGGCACTGGAAATCAGTAAACAGAGAGAGAAGAATTTTTTCCTTTTAAAGTTGCTTACTTAACAGTCTTAATTCTCTTCTTGGAATGAAGAGGATCAAACTGCATCACATTTTCTTTATCTGCGATAATCCTTATAAATACTCTTTTCAATTTATTTTAACTTTGACTGACGTGACTGGTAAGAATTAAATCCACAAAAAATTTAACATAAAATATTCTTTTCCAGCAATATACACACAATGGTGAGCAGAATTGTGGGGACCATTGGCTCAAGTTTGATCTTGCCAGAGCAGCTGTGGCTGCCCCACCTCTGGAAGTGTCCAAGGCCAGGATGGAGCAACCTGGGACAGTGGAAGGTGTCCCTGCCCATGGGATGAGCTTTAAGGTCCCTTCCAGCCCAAACCATTCCACGACTGATGTGATGCTGCAGGTTAAACCTGACAGAGCTGCCACCACTGCACAGCCAGGGCTGAGAAAGCTTTGCCAGGAGGATTTTCTGTGAAAGCCTTCCCTGTGGGTCTGCTCCTGAAGAGGGGTTAATAAAAAAACCCCTGGGAAATGAGAAAAACTTTTGGGGCTCACACCTCCTCATGCAGAGCCAGCAGGAAGGGGCAGTGTGGAGTTGTGAGGACACTGAATGGTGACATTCTGTCACCCAGGCCCATGGATGGGGTTTGATTTCTTGGGAAATGCAGGAATTTGTTTCCTGCATTTGTGAGACATGGGAAGCCTCTGGCATTTGATGTTTGAAGGGTGTCTGGTCAACCTGGAGAATTATTTGGGTGGAGGTTCATCACAGCTACGCTCCACATTCCCCAGCATGCTCTGGTTGCCATGAAAATGTACCAGCTGTAGCTCCAAAAGCTGGGAATTCTCAGCAATGTGTGGGAACTGACTGGAAAATGCATCTGCTGCTCTTTGCTGTTCCCTTTCTCTTGGGCTCTATAAAACCTGAAAAGGGAGAAAGCCCTGGTGAGGATAAGTCTGCATTTGTGTCACCTTTGGAACCTTTTGAATGGATTTTAGGACTTTTTCAGTTTTTAGGGTGCTGCAGAGATGACCTGCAGAGGTAACACTTCCAACTCCATCAGTGTAGTTCCAAATCCAGCAAAAAAAAACCAAAATCAGGACGTTGTATTAGTCAGGAGTGTGAACTGAATGGTTGTAATTTGTTTCCAACTGCCTCACAGAGAACTCTGGGTTTGGTGGCAGCCAAGAACTGGAAGGACAAAACCCTGTGAACTTTTGGGAAAATTATTTAGAAGATAAGCACAGAAGGTTTTGCACAAGACAGGTCCCTGGAAAAGGTGGTTTAGTAGATTTGGTCCAAATATTGTTATTTAGAACAGCACAACTCTGCACTTGTGCCAAGGTGATTTAACTGCCTTGATGGGCAGAACAGACATGAACAACTTTTGAGGTAAAATATTAAAAATATTAAAATATTTTAAAAGGGTAAAGTTCTTGTTCAGAACTTCCAAGTGCCAATGACTGGAACAAATGTTTCTGTTGCTGTGGCTGAGCACAGCTCAGTGGAGCCAGTGGAATTCTGTGGTTGTTTCTCTGTGTCCTCAAACAACTTTCTTGCTCAAACAACTGCTCAGATTCTGTCCTCATCCTTGCTGGGACTTTGGATTTTAAGCAGGATGTTTAAGATTACATCATTTTTAGTGCAGCTCAGCCTTCAAATTGGATTTCAAGCAGCCTCAGGCCTGTGGGGGAAGGAGTGCAGTGGAAGTTTGAATCACATTCTGACCTGACTGTGCTCCTCAAAAACCCCAAACCTTGAGTGTGTGCCTGTGTGTAACCCTCAGGATGGTGGGGAAATGTTGGGATCTGGACTTTTAACCCAAGGGCTAATTTGTTGTCACTGTTTAATTATTTGCTTTCAATAATGCATCTCTTTTGGTTTGAATGGAAGTAAATTATTTTGCTTCTTAAATAACTTTTTTAAAGAATAAACTTTGAACTCTTTGGTTGTTTGAGTTCTGGGCATGGGATCCATGAGAGGCTTACAGGAGGTTTATCACAGTGCCCTCTGCTTTGCCTGTGGGCTGGGATTCAGTCCATTCAGTCGTGGGGCAGGCTCAGCTCTATCACAGATGTGCCCTAGAGCAGCAGGGAGAGTGGCCTTGAGACTGCCACAGCCTTGGGCCAGTCCAGTTTTAATGACTTCATCAATCTGCATCTTGCTGCTGCTGAATCTCCATTTGCAGTGGTGTCCCTCATGCTGATTTATATTTAAAAAAATGTAAATCAATACTTTACCTGATGTTCCAATGGCAAAAACAGCTATTAAATTACTGCTGTGCCCAAATAATGCTCTGTTAGGCTTTTAAATGGCTTGACTCAGTCTTCTAAAATACTTCCCTGTTGCCTTCCCTCCTGCAAGAAGGCAAATTGTGTCAGAGCACACAGTCAGTAAATGTGCTCCAAGGGTATTTCTCCTCAGACCTCGTGTCAAGCATCTGAGACCTGGAGTCCAACCTGGGTTTTGTGCCAGGAAATTAAAAACAGACCCCCAGGAGCAGGTCCAGCCTGTCCCCAGAGCATTCACACCCTGAGCTGGGTGCTGAAAACCCGGGGGTTTCGTGGCTTGCAGGGAAGGTTTCCCTGCCATGGGTTTGTTCCCTGGCCCTACCCACGAGCTCCCTGCAGAGGAACTGGTTTTGGCTGTGCCCTGGAGCTGGTGGGGTCTGTGCAAGGTGAGGAGAATCTGCTGAGGGTGTCCCCAGTGCTCCATCAAAGACCCAGGTGGGATCCACCTTATCCCCTGTCTGGTCAGACTCCTCCTCTTGAGGAATTAAAACCATTTTCTGGCAAAGTTTGCCCCACAGCTGCCCCTGTGCTGTGGGTGCAGGGCCAGGCAAGCTGAAGGAGGATCCTGCTCGGACCCAAGCTCCCAAATTTCTGGTCCCACCACTCTTGGCTGGAGCTGGGTGGAACCAGGGCAGCTCAGAGGTAAAAGTGGGGGGGTTTGGAGGCACTCCAAAGTCTCTGGGTGTGAATCCCTCACTTTCCAGCTGAAAAAGAGTGGGAAGACAGGCTGTTTGTGTCAGCCCTTGAGTTTGCACAGGCCCTGGGTCTAACTTTAGCACAGCATGCCCAGGCTTTACTCAGATTTCCACCATGAGCCCACCCAAGCTCACCCTGTGATTAAAAAAGCTGAGGGCTCAAGACACGATCAAGATTCTCTTGAGGAAGATGACCTCTGCATCCTAAAGGTTATTTTTGGTTTCAGATGTGAATCCCAAGATCCCAAGGAGGGTTAAGGGCTGATAGAGTCCTTGTGGGAGAGCAAACAAGAAGAGACAGATTTTATAGCCCTTGAATGAAACAGTTAAACAATAATGTGCTGTGGAGGCTCTCAAACTTGGGGATGGGTGAAAGCAAGAAGAATTCAGAACCTGAAAATTTTATCAGCATGAGAGGGAGACCAAAGCTATACCATCATCCCAGCTTTGCCCTGGTGCTGCACCTCTGCAGTTGGAGGGAGGAAAATTTATATTTTTGGGGAATAATAGGGAAGGGGGGTAAAATTCCCTAAATTCTGGAGAATTTCTCAATTGTCACCCAGCTTGTTTTGAAGTTGTGCCCATCAAATAATGGGAACATCTGTTCCAGAGAATTCTTGGATGCTGTGGAAATTATCTCAGCTGGAGAAACTGCAGCAGCTCACCTCACTTCACTGGCTGTGCCACAGGATTCCTGTGCTCCTAAGGACAAAATCCATGGCTTGTTACTTCCAGCTCTGCATTTTATTTTATTTGTGCAGGTGACTCTCTCACCTATTCCAG